TAGTCCACGCACATGCGGAAGGTAGGGGGCTTCTGTGCGAGGACTACATTTGCTAGCCATGAGGGATATTTCACCTCCTTGATGTGTTTAATGGAGAGGAGCATGGCGACCTCCTTCTTCACAAATTCCCTTCTCTCGGCGGAGAGGGGTCTTCTTCGTTGCTGCACTGCCTTTGCCGAAGGGTCCACCGAGAGGCGGTGGGTGATGACCCTTCGGCTGATTCCCGGCATGTCCTCCGGCCCCCATGCAAAGACAGTGGAGTAGGCGCGGAGGGCGTCGGTGATAACGGTCTTCAAATCTTCAGGGAGCTGGGCTCCAATCTTCACGACTCTCTCCGGCTGGGCCGGATCGAGCGCAAAGTCTTCTACGTCCTCGGATGGTTCAGCCCTCGGCCTTTTTTCTTCTTGATCGATGGTTCCGGTGATGGTGTCAACACGGAATTCCGTCTTGCTTACCTTCTTAGTGACCTGAAGATAGCAGGCGCGGGCAATCTTCTGATTCCCCCGGGAGTAGCCAATGCCCCCCTCGGCGGGAAACTTGAGGCAGAGGTGCCTCATGGAGATGATGGCTTCGAGGTCCTCGAGGGCTGGCCGGCCGAGGATGATGTTGTGGGCGCAGTCAATGTTGACGACGACGGACTCCACTTCGAGCTGGGCTCTATGGAGCCCGTCGCCGAAGATCACCGGGAGGGTTATTACCCCCTCGGAATCAATAGTATCGCCGGTGAAACCGGCAAGAGGGGTCTTAATGGGCCGAAGGGACCCCCTCTCCAGATGCAACTCTCTGAAGGTGCCGAGGTACATTACATTGACGGAGCTGCCCGTGTCAATGTAAGTTCGGTGAATGATGGTGTCGTTTATCTCCGTCCGAATCACCAAGGCATCCCTGTGAAGAGAAGAAGTAGGGGGGAGATCTGCGTTGGTGAAGGTGATGGGCTCCTCCCTCAGTCTCTTTACCGGGGGCATATGAGTGACTTCCCCCACGTAGAGCGATTGAGCCCACTTCTTTCGCTGGCTGGTGGAATCGCCCCCTGTATTGCCACCGGTGATCATGAGGATGTGGCGTTTTTTCTCCTGGTAGTGGGGGTATTCCTCCTCCTCTTCTTCAAAGTTCCCAATCTCCCTCTTCTTGCCGAGGGGGATGGTATTCGGGTTTACCCAAGCATTTACCTTCGTGTGGTGCCCTCGGGGAGGCCCCTGATGAGAAGGTCCTTCCCGCCGAGGGCTCTGAACAAATTGGGACAGGTGCCCTGCTTGTATTAACCTCTCGATGGCCGTCTTTAGCTGATGGAAGTCATCGGTCCGGTGCCCCTGGTGCCGATGGAAGCGACAGTAGGGGAACTGAGGGTTGATAGCGTGTACCTCCGGGGGTGCGCGAGAGTCGCGCTCAACGAGGCCCCTCTCCTCGGCAAAATCGAGGATGATGCTGACGGGGTGCGTCAATGGTGTCCGAGGGCGGTCCAGGAGAATGGGCTGTGCCCAAGTCTTAGGGTTGCTCTTATAACCTCCCCCGGGCTTGGCTTGGCCTTGCCGAGGGCGGTCATCAGAGGGTCCCGAAGTCTTGGGGTGATTTGGAGGAGCCCCCGACCCTCGGTTATGCTTGTTTTCAGCCCTCGGGGGCTGCTGGTCTGGATGCTGGTGGTACTTTTCCACCTCCTCGGCCTCAGCATATCGGTCCCCCCGCTGCAAAGCCCTTATGTAGTCGCGGGGGGGGGGGGGGGGGTTCAATGATGAGGCTCCTTGAAAAGTTGCCGGTACGGAGGACGGTTTGTAGGAGGGCCAGTAGGGTCCCGTCATCAGCACCATCGACCTTGTCGGCCTCCGTCCTCCAGCGCTCCAGGAAGTCCCGAAGGGTCTCATCCCTCTTCTGGCGTATAGTTAGGAGGTGGGAGAAGTGCTTCCTCGTGCGACGCCTCCCGGCAAATTGTGTCAAGAATCGCTGTGCGAGTTCTTGCCACGAATCAATGCAGCCCTCGGGCAGCCTGTTGAACCATTCGTATGCCGGCCCCTCTAAGGTGGAGAGGAACCAACGACACAAATATTCGTCTAACGCCCCTACCATCATCATGCTGTTCTGGTATTTGCTGTAATGTTCCTGGGGGTCCGTCTTCCCGTTGTAGGGCTGTATGTGCTGCCCTCGGTATTTTTCCGGGATCCGGGCCGCCAATACCCTTGGGGTAAATGGCGTCCGAGTCCGGAGCTAGATGACGGGTTCCCCGGAGCCCTCGGCCACCTTCTTCTGTAATTCCTCCATTTTGGCCATCATGGCCTCGTATTTGAGGTCTGAGTGAGGGGTGGAGGTGGTGGCGTGAGCTTTGTTGGACTCCATTTCGTCAAGCCGGCGTTGGAGGGCCGCAATAATCTCGTCCCGGGGATCCTTCGGGAGGGTCTCCGCCCCCTGCGAACGAACCCGGGCCGAGTGGGCCTGGTTGATCTGGTGGCGAGCATCATTGGCATGAAGGGGTGCCTTGCCTTTGTCCCGAGGGGGACGCTCCTCGTCTGCCCTCGAGACAGACCCTCCACTTTCCTGAGGCCTTTGGAGTGCCTTTCCTCCGAGGCGGTCTTGGACCCCTCGGCGGTCTGGCCCTCCTCCAAGCCGGTTGAGGGCGGAAGTGCGGGGCCTCTCCCTGTTGTCATTGTGGCGATCCCGGGACTGTACCTCCTAGGAGGACGTATCCTGGGCCACTACCCCTTCGTCGTTCCTCACCCGAGGGGTGGGATTTCCGAAGGGGTGTGGCGGAGGGGGAAGTATGATGTTTTCCCCAACCCGGGGGTGAGCCGGAGCCAGGGTGCCGAAGGCACCCGGGTTCTGAGTGAGCGTTTGGATGAAAGCGGAGAGCGCCGATTGCACGTCGATGGTGAGAACCGGAGGGCTGACTTGGTCATCGCTCCGGTTTTTCTTCTTGGCCTCGATGCCGAGGTGGGCATCGGGGGCATTTTGTTGGATCTGAAGGCGTAGGTCGACAGCCGCCTGTTCCAGCCCAACGATGACACCGCCCTCGGGAGCCCTGTGAGAGGCTTCGGGGCGTTGACGTCGCCGAGGGCCAGGTTTTTGTCTTCTACGTTCTTTGAGTTGGCACGTGTTGTCCTCACCATTCTGATAGAGGGCTAGTGTTTTGTGTTTGGTCGAGGGGGAGGGTTTCTTACTTGATTGTTCGAGCTCTCAACGAGAGCACCAAATGATGGATAGTCTACCCGGGGGTGTATATCCGAAGGGTTATTACGGGGAATAACTTAGAGAGAAGTCAGAGTAAGCAAGTAAATGTAGAGAGAGAATGTATTCAGTATGAATGTCGTGGTTACAAATGGGGAAATGGGGTGCTATTTATAGTAGCAATAAATGCCGGACAGGGACACGTGTCAAGCGCCCATTGGCCGAGGGGTCACCTCAACTGGTTGGCGTTGGCAGCCGCATGTGGCCGCATTTAATGCGGCTGTTGGATGGGACGTCTGTGCAGGGTACGGTGATCTGTACGCATGTGAGGCGGATATCTTGTCGAGTGAGATGCCTTCGGCTATGGAGCAGTAGCCGAGGGCTCCTCCAACCGATGGCACCCTGGTGCCGAGGGCTCACAGTGCCGAGGGCTGCTGTTTTCGCCGTTTTCTCCCAGTTTCTTAATTTGCTTGAGAAGCCCGTTCTGTGAGAGTTTAGAGCCTTCGGCCAGGGGGCCGAAGGCACCCCTGGCGCGTAGTGCGGGCTGCTTGGTACTCTGGGCGCTGTGATCTGGGCCTGTTGGGCCTTCTGGGCCTGTTGGGCCTTCGCTGGAGTAGTAGGAGTCTGTGGGCCGGGGGTTCCCGGGCCATATACTCCATCAGATATGTTTGACACAACTAGCTTAAAAGATACTTTTTTGAGTTTTACGGTTACTATTAACTTTTAGTAAGTGAAAAGATCTTAAATACTCCCTCCGTCCCGCTAACAATGAGACAAGAGGGAGTGACACACAAATTAATAAAAAGTTGTTTATGTGGTTGATATTGAATTGATAAAGTAAGAATAAAGTAAGAATGATTTATGGCCACACAAACTTTACCAAATTTGGTGTGGGACAGACCGATAAGGTAAAATGGGACAATCATAGCGGGACGGAGGTAGTAGCTAGTAATTGTTTGATAAAAAGTTGAATGTTTGATTTCGTTTTGTTTGGTATACAAGCTATTCTAACTAATTAATGCTAAAAGCTACGCACTTTTTTCAAATGCAACTCATTGTAACTTCTCAAAAAGCTCTTTTATACCCGCACGGGTAGCTCAGTTGGTTGAGTGTTGGGAAAGTTGGAACACTGATCATTGAACAAAACCCATACCACCGTGGCGAGGTTACAACTCCTGTGTGCTAGGCTGAACCTCTGTGTGCGTGGATACAAGTCTACCACCCTTGGACTGACTGAATCACCATGACTTACAACATCTCAAATGCTTTGTTGGGTCAGGGCGTGAGGGCCTCGAGGTTGGGAATTCCAACTTTTGGAACATAAAATAGTTTTTTTATTGTTAGCAAAAAAAAGTTTTTTTATTTTGATAAATTTTTTACAAATTGTCTATCCAAACATACAACTAGAAATTTTTAATGATAATTTAAATAGTACTCAATATAAAACTAAGAGCCCGTTTGGTAACACGAAAATCAGCTATTTCGGCTGATTTTGCTGAAATTTATGAAGTTCTGGCTGAAGTGGCTGCATTGTCTGATTCTGCTGATTTAAGAAAAAAATATTTATAAAATATATTTTATTAATAAAATAAAGAAAAAATTATATGTAAAAATAGTTAAAATGGTTATCTAAGTAACTTCAGCCAATACAGCGAGAAAAGTAACTTCAACCTTACTTTTTCTTATTATTACACAATTCAGCACACGAAAACAAAAATTACGTGTTTGACGAAAAAGTCGGTTGATAAGCCTAATAAGCCAAAAAAGTTATCAAAGAGCCTCTAAAAGTTATGAACTTATGTCTATTAAACATGCTCTAACTTTAAAATAGTACTGTAGAAATTAGCGGGTGATGAAGAAACCAATTTAAATTTTACTCAGTCCATTCGGTGATTACAAAGCTCTAATTTAGTAGAGCGCAATGAGCAATTGAGCATTGCTTTGGACATGCTCCACCTTGTCCGCACATTTCAATTCTTTAAAGCTATTGTCAGTTACGGAGTATTATGAACGCTCATTTCACTCTCACTAAATGGTAGAGCGTGATTAAAGAGCATTTGAATGTTGAATTCGAATTCAAGCTGTAGAAATTCCCATGTTCTCTCAATTCAATTGGACTCTTTCTGATCACAATGTGGCAAGTTGCATTGGGAGCAGCATTAGCTGCAGGATCTGGGTTTCTGGCCAAACAACTAATCCAATCAAATGCTCCAAAATCCGACCAACCCGTTGACCGAAATAGCCTTACCTCGCCTGAATTTGCAGTCCAAGATTCAACCTTTACTGAAGAAATTCCGACAAAGTGCGAATCTTTAGGTGTAGAATCAATCTTTAGGTTTTCAAGCTCAGAAAGAGGGCCAAATAAGCAGAAGAAGAAACCTGGCTGTGGGTCTGGAAGGAATAATGGAAATGCTGAGGGGCTTAAGAGGAATGGTGATGGGAAAGTGGTGAAGAAGTGTGGGTTCAAGAAAAGTGATGTGGGGGTTGACCATGAGAGCAGTGGGAGGGGGAAGAAGTTCTATGTTTGCTTGAAGAAGAGAAGGACTAACAGAACTGCCCCAGGCAAATGCGATAATTGCTCTTCCAAAGGTTAGATCTTTGCCATTCCTTAATGCTCTACTATTTCTATCTTATTACTTAAAGCTCTATAATTATTTCCTTTTTATGAAAACCTGAAAAGTATTTAGTACGGAGGGTGTATTGCTTAATTTTGAGTTTCCGTTCATGTTTAATGAACCCTCGAAAGACATACGAAGAAATGCATCTTCCCATACTGATAAACGTAATATATGCAGTATTGTTAGTTTTAGGCTCAGAAATCTGGAGTTTTCTGGTGGAGTGATTTACACAAGTGAATATTGCATTTGTACCCACTTATTGTTAAATTGATCCTAATCTGTTTAAGAAATACGGAGTATCATTCTTGAATCATTGATTGTGTTTTTTCATTGATTTTGAAATTTCTCATTTTGTTAGGGCCCATTTGGCAATTGGCAGTCAAATGGTGGGGGGGGGGGGGGGGGGGGGGAATAGAGGCCAGTTGGAAGGAAGAGAATGTGGTAAAATATAGGGGAGAAAAACGTAAGAACAATAGAGAGCCCAGTTGAGAGGGCATTTGGTATGATAGTGAAATAATTACTTTGTATGCAAAATATAGCGATGCAAAAGATTCACACCGTTCGGTTTCATGTAAACTGTAGAGCACTTTATCAAACATCGCAATATACCATGTGAAATATTTTACATGAGGGGTCAGGGGAGAAAGGTAAAATACTCTGCATGCTTCCCTAAAGTTTGCATGCAATCAATCATTTCACAAAGTTATGAAGTGCAAACTACAAACAAGCCCTCATTCGCCCTCAATATATCAAATCTAGATATTTGATCAATCTAAATGTTATTATTAATTAAATATCAAGACATCTAAATTTAGTTAAGGTTTGAAAAGTTTTAGTCACATTTTACTATTTGGGTATATCCAAATGATAAAACCCTATCTTCCTTGGGCTATGTTTGGATTCCGGTAAATGCAAGTGAAATGAAAGAAAATGTAAGGAAGTTATTTTCTAATCTTTGGCATGCATTGCCTGGGTTGTGCAAAGGAAAATAAGATATGTTATTCACATGCTTATATTTCTTATACATGCTCGGATTTCATGGAATATATATCATTGAAATAAATTTTAAAATAAATTTGAAAAAACAATAAACATAAACTTGTAGAGTTGGAACCAATGTTTATTTTCCTCAAAATTATGTTTCCTTCCAAATCTCTATAATTTTCTCCCTACTTTCTTTCCCTCACCTTTTCCAAGTTCCAAACAAACCCTTAATATTTTTACTCCCTTTCCCTACCATTTCCTTTGCTCCAAACATAGCCTTAATGACTGGTGTTAGCTTGCAGGAAATTCAGTTTTTGGATGGGGTGTGGGAATTGGGATGATGTGCATGATGTCAGCCCGGAGAGGTGAAATGAATAAGCTCAACATTGCAATGGATGAAACCTCAAAGGCTGTCCAAGAATTGAAGGATCAACTTTCAAGAAGTAGAACTTCACTTAGTTCTCATTCTTCTAAATCTGAGGACATCAGGGAAGAGCATACAGAAACTGCATTTGTTAAGTCATTCAATCAGAATATAAATGGAAAGAGAATCTTCAGCTTTCCTGTGACTGAGGAAGGTGAATATGCAAGCAGTGTTCTTACAGAGGAAATGCAGCCAGAGGCAATAGAATTGAATCATCTGGAAGCTGAGTTTACATCTGAACTGCAGAAACTACATGGGTGCAACCCCGACGGTTCTGACTTTGGTGTAAGAGCAGATATTTTCGATGAGATCAGTTTTTTTCTTTTATAATGATACAACTAATGCTTTAAACTTGTGAGTTGTGTTAATGTTTTTTGACTAATGGTTATGTTTTGTTTCATGAGAATATAAGGTGATGTACGAAATACGTCTAGATCACATTCCATTACTATGATTTTTATATTTTACTTGTTTGTGTATAGTTCCTGGTTTTGGAATTGTAATAATGACAATATATAAAAGATGACTTTTAATGTCCAGTGACCATAGTAGTATTTTCAGTGATTCCGATGACCATGATTCCATTTTTACATTGCAGTTTCCGTAGTTGTATTTTCAGAGTGACTAAACTGACCATATAGTTAGATTTTTATCATTTATTTTAGTAATATTATAGCAGAACAACCCTAAAAATTTACTGGCACATCTTAAACTAGATTTTGGTATTTCAAAACCATGAACTTTGTCATATTGTCATCTTTTGTTTTGGTCCCGGTGAGCAAACCACCAAAATCATTGGGCAAATGCCGGGAACATCTGCCGAGATATTATTAAAATTGTCACACTGTCATCTAAATTACTCCTTATTATAGAATACTGAAAATGATAATACAAGTTGTGATGCCAAAATTGAATTCTTTCTTATGATTCTATATGACTACATGTTCACTAGTCACTACATAAATACCAATATCTTTACCAAATTGTAAAATTGAAAATCAACAGTCACTATAGTCATTGTCACTATACACTTACCCTATAGCCGGTGTGTGTTGAATGTCATCATATTTTTGTCCTTCATTTCGATCGTAATCATGTACTGTATATGTTCTTATTTCTGATAAGCTTAGGAAATACATATGTATATAATAACAATTCAAATTCTGAAGTAAACACCATTGGCTTGACAGATGGGAGCTTTGGCTGAAGGGTTTCATGATGAAGTTGATTTGAATCACCCTTACGAACCCAACGGAGTGCACCCCTCTGAACTGAACCAAAAGTTGTGCCAAGTACTGATTGAACAACAGGGAAGCCAGATAGCTGAGTTAGAGACTGAGCTGCAAATGTCCCACCGCAAACTCCATCAGAAAGAATCAGAGCTCCAAGCTCTTAAGGACTGTGTTCGTCGTCTCACTGATTTTTCTCTATCCAGTGATTCAGGTTCACCAACAATATCCCCCATAATAATGGTTTCTTATCTGCAAACATGTTATGTTCATGCTTGTTGCATCTGTTTTGATTATGCAGATGATGATTTAGAGGTTCGTACGAGGTGTATTGTCGATGAAGAAGAAGAGAAGAAGCAGACTAAGAGTGCGGAATTTAGGAAATCAGCAATGGTTGGGAACAAAAGAGAATCAATGGAGTTTTGAGTAAACATTCAGTGTTCAAAGTGTTCTTATCACTTCCAGTATCATGTAGTGTACTACTAGGTTACTGATGTGAACTGGACAAGTAAATACAATTACTCACATTACGTACTACGTAAGAAGTACTCCGTATTTATTATTAGTAATGCATTTTTTTATGAATCCAATTTTTGGTGAGTATGGTTATATAGCCATAGTTGTATTTGTGCAGTGGCTTTTGTGACTTTGTGGTCATATCTTTGTCACTAAAAAACATGACAACTTTAGTAATATACGGAGTATTAAAAAATAACAAAAATGCTACTTATACACGCCAATTTACATGTTCGTTTACACGTCAAATGTATTTTGTCTGTGCACATACTATCGTATAATTTATTTTCGTTTTAATAAAAAGAATGTTTGTGACCACCGAGAAGTAAATTGTCTTTTATATACTACGAATTTAGTAAAAGATAGTTGCACTTTGACAAATGACACATGCTCTTTTTTGAAAGAAAATTGGACGTATATGAGAAAATATCAAATGAATCAAAAGTTACAATCATCTAATAACTCCAAATCCACCACCTATCTGTCAGCAAACTGCATCTAGATTCAAGAGACTCTGAGACGGCTACCTCCAAACAAGCAGCACAAGTCGCGCTGACCACTAAACAAGCAACATATACTCCCTCCGTATCACAATAAGACTCTCAATCGACTTTTCACGTATTTAAAGATAGTTTATAGTTTACAATACACTTTTGAAAAAGTATGAGATTCTTGGTACTTTAACGTATTGTTTACTTTATTAAAGTGTACTGTAGCTACTTTTGGGGTGAAATTATTTCTTAAAAGGGAAGTAAGACACTTATTTTGATACAACCTTGATGGAGTATATGGCCCGGGAACCCCCGGCCCACAGACTCCTACTACTCCAAACAAGGCCCAACAGGCCCAGAAAGCCCAACAGGTCCAAATCACAGCGCCCAGAGTACCAAGCAGCCCACAATGCGCACCAGGGGTGCCTTCGGCCCCCTGGCCGAGGGCTCTAACTCTCACAGGAGGGCCAAAACAGGAAAACAAGATGACTAGGGAAAACGGCGAAAATCACTAGCCCTCGGCACCTGGAGCCCTCGGCACCAAGAGGGTCCCCAGTACTCAGAGCCCTCGGCCAGTCCTCTACAGCCGAGGGCACCTCTTCCGACACGATATCCGCGCCACATGCGTACAGATCACCGTACCCTGTACAACATCCCATCCAACAGCCGCATTAAATGCGGCCACATGCGGTTGCCAGCGCCAACCAGCTGAGATGACCTCTCGGCCAATGAACGCTTGACACGTGTCCCTGTCCGGCATTTATTGCTACTATAAATAGCACCCCATTTCCCCATTTGTAACCACGCTGAAAACGCTCCGCACTTTACAATATACTTTCTCTCTCTATATTTACTTGCTCTGACTTCTCTCTTATTATTCCCCGCAATAACCCCTCGGATAAGCTACCCCCCGGGTACACTATCCATCATTTTGGTGCTCTCTTTGAGAGGTCGAACAATCAAGTAAGAAACCCTCCCCCTTCGCCAAACACTAGCTGTGACACCCTAAAAAAATGATGATTAAAATAAAGTATAGTGAAATAAAATAAAACAAATATAAATTATTTGATAGGAGTAAATTATCACATAACGCAAAAAAAAAATGAAAGAAGCCCAAACTAAATTAATAATCTTATGGAGTAACCATCATCGTGTAATTCAATTACTCAAGACATAGACCCATATTGATGATGATGATCATAGATGATGTGTATGGTGCATACCATATTACTATACACCCATATGAAATACACTCATGTATATAACACACTTGCACACCTGCAAACACATCATTACTACATATACATGGGCGCACACATCGTTATTACTGATACGTTACTGCGTAGTAATAAGTAATAACAACAATATTTGGCCAACAATAGAAATGGACGAACGTTGGTTTATTTGTGGCATCGAACAGTCCGAGACGCTAGAATCATCATCGTAAATTATATAAACCAGCATACACACATACACCAAAACCTTCATACGTTATTACAACAATAGAAACGTAAAGCGAGGAAAGTGAGGTCTGCGAGTGAAAGGGAGGCGGACGAGGTCGCTGGTAGGAAAGACGGGTGCCGGAGTGCAGTAACCTTGTCGCCGGAGAAGAAGACGTTGTCGCCGGACCAAACTACCACAATCGCCATCGTTCCTCAGACACCGTCGCTTGCCGCCGTCACGTCGGAGGTTGGAGTCGAGGTTTCATTGTCAGTTGTGTTGCCGGACTGTGTGAACGGCAAAGAAGAAAGCTACAGTACCGTATGTAATCCCGTACTCCGTATTCCGTTTAATGCTTTTGGACTGTTTCGTTTGGACTGAGTATAACTGGGCCGAGTATTTTTTTTTTATTGAACTGCCGGGCTGTGAATTAGGATAGGAGATAATAATAATAATAATAATAGTAATAAACAAAAATAATAAATAGTTACAGGATATAATAAAAGTACTACTACGTATAGTATGATACTAATAATACTAATAAGGATGATTGTAATAAAATAATTCATTGTGATTTTAATCGGGTTAGTACGTAATTAGTCATTTTAATTAAATAAAATAAATTGGCTATTGTAGTTAGACTTGTATTAGTTCAAATAATAATCTGGACAACATTTTACGGACTTCTTTTGTAAATAGATTATAATAACACATGGTGATATTTAAATTATTATTAATGTAAATAGATTAAATAAATGAATTACGTTGGACTAATTAAATAAGTGACAAATGTACTAATTAAGCATAAAACTAAAAATAGACTATTATAGAAATTGATTATTATTGAAGCAATCTAATCATAAGAGGGAATTATAAATAAAGGGTAGATGATTTAGAGTATAGTTAAATTGATATTGATTTTTTATTCTAAATAGAAGGTGATTTGAGTGAAGAACAAGGTAGAGGATTTTACTAGAAGTTCTTGGAACTTGAGGTAAGTTCTATGTCAACCAAAATGCATTTTGACCTCGTATATTATATATATGAACTGTATTTGTACTATTTGAGTAATTTTGTTGAGATAATGATTTTGTGGAATTTGATGAATTATGATTGAGAATGTTTATGTAATACTTGAGTTACTTATGTAAAAGTTTTGTATGTTGTACTTTTTTTAAAAATAAGTTGGATATTTTATGGGTAATAATCCCTATTGTAAAACTACATCTATTAATAATAGACATAGCATTTTTGGAAATTAATCAAGATAAAATGAACCTTTCATAATGTGTAGCATCGCGGGAGGAATCCGCGGTGTCGGTTTTCCGCATCCGGATAAATGTGGAGGGTGGTTAGGACTGCTACTACTTGGGAGAGGACCGGTAATCATTCCGGGTAATTATATTGGACCGGTAACCAATCCGCGTAATTCAATGGTATTATGATGGGCAAAAGACCCTTTTTATTTTATTTTTGGTAGTAGCAGTAACCTAGTCACTTGTATAGGGTAATCCCTTTTTGGAGGAGTAGGGGGACGTTGACGTCCGAACTACTTGGGCTTCTTACTACTCGGAGGGCTTGGAATCCCTCTTAGGGGGTGTGCACACTTAAGGTAGAAGTTCAGTTTCCATTGGAGTTGTGGTACCGGCAAAAGTCCCGGGGTGGCCGTACATATTGAGCACCGGGCTCAATAAAATATTGAGCACCGCCCTTCGATTCTTACTAGGGAAGTTAGTAACAAATGAGATTTTGAAAAAAATCAAGGGAGTGAAATTATATACTTATTCAGAAGAAGTTAAGGTGTTTGGTGGGAAATCATTGTTTGGAAATTTTGCACCTTGAAAATAATGTTATCTAAAACCATCTTCGTTTATACATATACTATATACATATATATATATATACTAGTATCTTCGCCAAAACCTAATTATTTTACGGGGTTGGGTGGAACTTACTTAGCATTTCCGGCTAATTTTTGTTTCTTTTGTTTTCTTTTCTCTTCTGTGTTTTACAGATGATTATCCTTTGGATGATAATATGCATGCTTGAGTTCTTGAGGGCGCTATGTAGAGACATCATCATTAATAAGACTTTACTTTACAAACTTTTGGTTTAAGAACATGTAGTGGACATCTTTATTTTTTTATTTCCCGCACTTTAGAATATTTGGACAAGTATTTTTGGTTAGCCTGTGCACTTAGCTATGGATATGCTAAGTGTGGCGGTAACACACTCAATTCCCATTTATTATTCCGCTGCAACATTTGAGTACTTTAAAATAAAGTTCACTATTTCTTTTTAATAAATTATTATTTCAAGTATTATTTTGGGTGGGGAAATTGGGGGTGTTACAAGTTGGTATCAGAGCGGGGTTTTCAAATATTTTCTGAGATTTCTAAAAGATTTTTTTAAAGAGTTTCCAAAAGATTTTCCAAAAATGATTTTTGATTTTTCAAAAATAAAATAAAATAAAAAGAATAAAATAAAAATAAAAAGAATAACTTGACTAGGATCGCGGTGAGGATTGTGTGATTTATTTTCTCTACATGTTTTGTTTATATGTGTGTATTTGCAATTATCTCTGTGTGGACTCATAAGTGAAAAGGGAACTCCAAATAGTGGAGAAATGTGGAGAAAAGCCTAAAAGGGCGAATTCATGGCTAAGGTATGTAAGTCCTTTTATGTGTAGTATTTATGAGGTCTTTGAAATGTGGAATCAATATGTGAAAGCCTTATTATAGGCTTATATATCCTTGCAGAATCCTTTGAATAGGATAACTAGGGACCATTTTAGAAAGAAAAAAATCGTGTACTAATAGTAAATATTTATTCTTTCATGGAGACATTATGCCACCAAGACGTGACCCGAATGCTGTACCAACTAATGCGGAGTTGGCCCAAACTGTTCACCTGCTTACTCAACTCACTCACACTATTGCGAATGCGGTACTTCAAAATAACCAGCCACGTAATAACAGCAATGACATGGAAACCCGTGTAGCGACGCGAAATCCACCGAGCTTCCTTGGGCAAGAGGACCCAATCATTCTTGAGAATTGGATACGCACCTTTGACAAGCTGTTTGATGCGATCAATTGCCCAGCAGAAGAACGAGTTGACATTGCTGTATATTACCTGCATGAAGAAGCAGACAAATGGTGGGTTAATGTGGGACTAGGATTGCGCGCACAACCGGACTTCACTTGGGAACGGTTCAAGCAAGCACTGCGAAAGAGGTTTTACCCGCCACACGTGCAGGCAGAAAATTATGACAAATTCTTGCATCTGAAACAAGGAGAAATGACGGTGCAAGAGTATCACACTAAATTTGTCTCACTGGCGGAATTTGCATCATCACTAGTGCCCGATGAGGAAAGCAAGATCGAGAAGTTCGTCAGGGGTCTTAATTATGACACACAGAAGGCCTTGAGTGTGCAAGCATGCCAAACATTGGATGATGCCTATTATAGAGCTGCGAAACACTATCGGGTTATTCAACTCCAACGGGAAGCCCATAAGAAAATCCGAAAGAATGAGGAGGAGAATAAAGAAAGGGAGAAGAGACCCAAAACTCATCATCAGGAACAACAACCCCCGTGGAAGAGGGACAATCAGCCACAAGAGGGAAGGAAATTCCCCGGGCAAGGCCCGAGGCATGACCACCGGAACATGAAGAGTGACAGGCATTATTACTGTCAAAAGTGCAAGAGGGATCATCCAGGTGTTGACTGCGACGGCAGAGTGGTGAATTGTTTCACTTGTGGGAAGATGGGACATCGTGCATTCGAGTGCCGGAGTGGATCGGGGGCGGGGTCCCAAGGCCAAGGGATTAATCGAGGAGGTGGAAACCAAGGTTGGAACCACCCTAAAGCTGGAGCAAATCGCGACAACAATAACCGTGGGAATCAAGGCGGGGACGCCAACCGAGCCCAGAATCAAAACCAAGGTGGGGGAAACAACAACAAAAATAACGCCCCTAACCAGGGTCGCATATATGTGATGAATCAAGCACAAGCCCGGGCTCATGATGTGGTTGCAGGTATCATTAATGTTAACAATACTCCTGCTTATGTACTGTTCGATTCTGGTGCTTCACATAGCTTTATTTCTTCTAGTTTTGTAAAGAAGTTAAAAATAGAATCTACGACTAGTATAGAATTGAATGTAAAAACAGCAGCCAATAAAGTCGTAGCTTGTAGAGGGGTATACACAGATGTACCCATAGCCATAGCTGAAGTCAATCTACCGGGAGATTTGGTGCAATTTGACCTCGAAGACATAGATGTGGTGCTCGGCATGGATTGGCTCGGGAGATACAAAGCAAAGATCCTTTGCGGTGAACAAAAAGTGATCATGAAGAGCCCCGGTGGTAAGCGAGTGTCATTCAAAGCTACGACCGACAAGCCCGGAGTCAAGCTAATGACGATACAACAAATGAAGAGATACGTCCGAAAGGGATGCGAAGCATACCTATGCATGGTGAAAGATCTCAACGCTGAGGACAAGGCAATTGAGCAAATTCCGGTAGTCAATGAGTTTCTTGATGTATTTCCGGATGAAATCCCGGGGATGCCTCCGGAACGAGAGATTGAATTCTCCATCGAACTGATGCCTGGAACCACCCCTATTTCCAAGGCACCATATCGGATGGCTCCGAAAGAGATGCAAGAACTAAAGGAGCAACTTGAGGAACTACTCGAGAAAGGTTACATCAAACCGAGTGTCTCACCCTGGGGCGCTCCGGTTCTTTTTGTGAAGAAGAAGGATGGAAGCTTGAGATTGTGCATCGACTATCGAGAGCTAAACCGTGTCACTGTCAAGAATAAGTACCCTTTACCCCGCATTGACGACTTATTTGATCAGCTGAAGGGTGCGGGTGTATTCTCCAAGATAGATCTTCGATCTGGTTACCATCAGGTGAGAATAGCGGAGAAGGATATACCCAAAACCGCATTCCGCACGAGGTATGGGCATTATGAGTTCACTGTAATGCCGTTTGGTCTGACCAATGCACCAGCGGTGTTCATGGATTTAATGAATCGTGTATTTCGCCCCTATCTCGATGCATTTGTGGTGGTGTTCATTGACGACATACTTGTATACTCCAAGAGTCCAAAAGACCACGAAGAGCATTTGAGGATTGTGCTGCAAACTTTGAGAGAGAACCAACTTTATGCTAAATTCTCAAAGTGTGATTTCTGGAGGGACCGAGTTGCATTTCTCGGTCACATCATTACTAAGGAGGGAGTTTCTGTGGACCCGTCGAAGATTGAGGCAATAACCGAGTGGTGTGCACCTACCACAGTGACAGAAGTAAGAAGCTTTCTTGGGTTAGCGGGTTACTATCGGAGATTTGTCAAAGATTTCTCCAAGATAGCTAGACCGTTGACCAATTTGATGAAGAAAAGCACGAGGTTTCAATGGAGTGAAGACTGTGAGATGGCATTTCAAGAGTTGAAAAAGAGATTGACGACTGCACCAGTTTTGACACTTCCATCGGGAACTGAAGGGTTTGAAATCTACTGTGATGCGTCCAAAAATGGTTTGGGCTGTGTACTCATGCAGAACAGGAAGGTAGTAGCTTATGCATCCCGACAGTTGAAGGTGTATGAAGTTAACTATCCGACCCATGACTTAGAGTTAGCCGCAGTTGTATTTGCTTTGAAAATATGGAGGCATTACTTGTACGGTCCGCCGTGCAAAATATTCACAGATCATAAGAGCCTCAAGTACATATTCACGCAAAAAGAACTCAACATGAGGCAAAGAAGATGGCTAGAGCTTGTCAAGGACTATGACCTGGAGATCCAATATCATGAGGGAAAAGCTAATGTCGTAGCGGATGCCTTGAGTCGGAAGACAGAGCACACGAGCCGCGCAGCGTGGATACTACCAGAAGAGCTGTACCAAGAGTTTCAGAAGCTAAATTTGGAGGTCAAGGAGCATGGTGAAGTAGAGGGTGAGATCCGGTTATACACTATGACCATTTTACCTTCTATCTTCGATGAGATAAAAGTCGGTCAACCGGGAGATGTCAAATTGGAACGAGTCAAAGAAGGAATGAAAGATGGGGTCAACGGACCATTTCAACTACACGAAGACGGGAGTATCCGTTATAAGGGGAGGTGGTGTGTCCCTATGAAATGTGAGCATATCAAAAGACAAATCATGGAAGAAGGACACAACACACCCTATTCGGTACACCCGGGAGGAGATAAACTATACAAGGATCTGAAGAAGAACTTTTGGTGGCCGAAGATGAAAAAGGAAGTGGCTGAGTTTGTGTCAAGATGCCTGAACTGTCAGAAGGTGAAAGCTGAAAGATGCAAGCCCAAAGGACTTGTGCAATCCTTGGAGGTACCAACATGGAAATGGGACTCCATTTCGATGGACTTTGTTGGAGGTTTACCCTTAACGAAGTCCGGGAAAGATAAGATTTGGGTGATCGTGGATAGATTGACCAAGACTGCTAGGTTCATTCCCATGAATGAGACCTGGAGTATGGATAAATTGGCAAGAGCTTACATCAAGCATGTGGTCAAATATCACGGTGTACCACGAGACATTGTGTCTGACCGAGATTCCCGATTCCTATCACAATTTTGGAAGGAATTACAAGCCGCTATGGGGACTAAACTGAAGCTAAGTACTGCATTTCACCCGACTACGGATGGTCAGACTGAGAGGACTATTCAGACGCTTGAAGATATGCTGAGAGCATGCGTGCTGGACTTGCAGGGATCATGGGACGAGCACTTAGACCTTATAGAGTTCTCGTATAGTAATAGTTATCACGCAAGTATTAAGATGGCTCCGTATGAGGCGCTTTACGGTCAAAAGTGTAGAAGCCCATTATGTTGGGGCGATATGGTGGATAAGGTCGTTCTAGGGCCACAATACTTGCAACATACAATGGAAAAAGTCAAAATCATTCAGGCGAGGATGAAAGCAGCGCAAGACCGCCAGAAATCGTATGCAGACTTGGGACGGAAACCAGCTGAGTTTGAGGTAGGAGAGAAAATACTACTCAAAGTATCTCTTACTAAGGGCGTCATGCGATTTGGGAAGAAGGGTAAACTAAGCCCTAGATTCATCGGTCCTTACGATGTTCTGGAGAGGGTGGGAAGAGTGGCCTACAGATTGGCTCTACCCACCGAATTGAGCAAGGTAAGACACGGTTTGAATCCTTTTCTACATTCCTACAAAATTGAATTACCAACTAACGATACTTTGACATGTACAAGGTACACGACGTATTCCATGTATCCCAGCTAAAGAAGTACGTCCATGATGGGTCACATATAATTAATCCCGAGGTAAAATCCTTACTTTTGGGGTAGTTAAGAGGCATACCTATCGATTAACACTTTACACTATCAGGTGATCGAGGTGGATGAGACTCTCACTTACGAAGAGAAGCCCGTGAAGATCCTAGACACTAAGACACGTGAGACTAGGAGGAAGACCGTTCACTTGGTCAAAGTTTTGTGGTCAAACCACCTATCTGAAAATGCCACATGGGAATTGGAGGACGATATGCGTAGGCAATACCCAGAACTTTTCATTTGAGGTAAATTCTTGGTTACGAGGACTAACCTCTTTTTTTAGGGGGTAGATTATAATACCCCGTATAAATATTTTTTTTCTTAGCTTATGCTTCGAGGACGAAGCATTCTTTAAGAGGGATAGAATGTGACACCCTAAAAAAATGATGATTAAAATAAAGTATAGTGAAATAAAATAAAACAAATATAAATTATTTGATAGGAGTAAATTATCACATAACGCAAAAAAAAAAATGAAAGAAGCCCAAACTAAATTAATAATCTTATGGAGTAACCATCATCGTGTAATTCAATTACTCAAGACATAGACCCATATTGATGATGATGATCATAGATGATGTGTATGGTGCATACCATATTACTATACACCCATATGAAATACACTCATGTATATAACACACTTGCACACCTGCAAACACATCATTACTACATATACATGGGCGCACACATCGTTATTACTGATACGTTACTGCGTAGTAATAAGTAATAACAACAATATTTGGCCAACAATAGAAACGGACGAACGTTGGTTTATTTGTGGCATCGAACAGTCCGAGACGCTAGAATCATCATCGTAAATTATATAAACCAGCATACACACATACACCAAAACCTTCATACGTTATTACAACAATAGAAACGTAAAGCGAGGAAAGTGAGGTCTGCGAGTGAAAGGGAGGCGGACGAGGTCGCTGGTAGGAAAGACGGGTGCCGGAGTGCAGTAACCTTGTCGCCGGAGAAGAAGACGTTGTCGCCGGACCAAACTACCACAATCGCCATCGTTCCTCAGACACCGTCGCTTGCCGCCGTCACGTCGGAGGTTGGAGTCGAGGTTTCATTGTCAGTTGTGTTGCCGGACTGTGTGAACGGCAAAGAAGAAAGCTACAGTACCGTATGTAATCCCGTACTCCGTATTCCGTTTAATGCTTTTGGACTGTTTCGTTTGGACTGAGTATAACTGGGCCGAGTATTTTTTTTTTATTGAACTGCCGGGCTGTGAATTAGGATAGGAGATAATAATAATAATAATAATAGTAATAAACAAAAATAATAAATAGTTACAGGATATAATAAAAGTACTACTACGTATAGTATGATACTAATAATACTAATAAGGATGATTGTAATAAAATAATTCATTGTGATTTTATTCGGGTTAGTACGTAATTAGTCATTTTAATTAAATAAAATAAATTGGCTATTGTAGTTAGACTTGTATTAGTTCAAATAATAATCTGGACAACATTTTACGGACTTCTTTTGTAAATAGATTATAATAACACATGGTGATATTTAAATTATTATTAATGTAAATAGATTAAATAAATGAATTACGTTGGACTAATTAAATAAGTGACAAATGTACTAATTAAGCATAAAACTAAAAATAGACTATTATAGAAATTGATTATTATTGAAGCAATCTAATCATAAGAGGGAATTATAAATAAAGGGTAGATGATTTAGAGTATAGTTAAATTGATATTGATTTTTTATTCTAAATAGAAGGTGATTTGAGTGAAGAACAAGGTAGAGGATTTTACTAGAAGTTCTTGGAACTTGAGGTAAGTTCTATGTCAACCAAAATGCATTTTGACCTCGTATATTATATATATGAACTGTATTTGTACTATTTGAGTAATTTTGTTGAGATAATGATTTTGTGGAATTTGATGAATTATGATTGAGAATGTTTATGTAATACTTGAGTTACTTATGTAAAAGTTTTGTATGTTGTACTTTTTTTAAAAATAAGTTGGATATTTTATGGGTAATAATCCCTATTGTAAAACTACATCTATTAATAATAGACATAGCATTTTTGGAAATTAATCAAGATAAAATGAACCTTTCATAATGTGTAGCATCGCGGGAGGAATCCGCGGTGTCGGTTTTCCGCATCCGGATAAATGTGGAGGGTGGTTAGGACTGCTACTACTTGGGAGAGGACCGGTAATCATTCCGGGTAATTATATTGGACCGGTAACCAATCCGCGTAATTCAATGGTATTATGATGGGCAAAAGACCCTTTTTATTTTATTTTTGGTAGTAGCAGTAACCTAGTCACTTGTATAGGGTAATCCCTTTTTGGAGGAGTAGGGGGACGTTGACGTCCGAACTACTTGGGCTTCTTACTACTCGGAGGGCTTGGAATCCCTCTTAGGGGGTGTGCACACTTAAGGTAGAAGTTCAGTTTCCATTGGAGTTGTGGTACCGGCAAAAGTCCCGGGGTGGCCGTACATAACAACGGTTCACCGGGCTCAATAAAATATTGAGCACCGCCCTTCGATTCTTACTAGGGAAGTTAGTAACAAATGAGATTTTGAAAAAAATCAAGGGAGTGAAATTATATACTTATTCAGAAGAAGTTAAGGTGTTTGGTGGGAAATCATTGTTTGGAAATTTTGCACCTTGAAAATAATGTTATCTAAAACCATCTTCGTTTATACATATACTATATACATATATATATATATATATATATATATATATATATATATATATATATATATACTAGTATCTTCGCCAAAACCTAATTATTTTACGGGGTTGGGTGAAACTTACTTAGCATTTCCGGCTAATTTTTGTTTCTTTTGTTTTCTTTTCTCTTCTGTGTTTTACAGATGATTATCCTTTGGATGATAATATGCATGCTTGAGTTCTTGAGGGCGCTATGTAGAGACATCATCATTAATAAGACTTTACTTTACA